TCACTTTTAGCAGAGATCTCCTCACCTCATCTGCAGACAGTGAGAGTCAGCTGCGGAGGGGGCAGTTCTGATGACTGGTTCTGTGTTGTTGGCTTCAAACCGAGCATAGAAGGTGTTGAGCTCGTTAGGCATGGAGGCATCATGGGCAGGTGCACAGATGTTCTTCCTCTTGTAGTCTGTGAGGGCCTGTATACCTTGCCACATACGCCTTGGGTCATTACTGGTGAAGTGTTCCTCTAATTCCTGTTTGAGTGTGTTTTTTGCATGTTTAATACCATTGTTTAGATTGATCCTGGCTGACCTCAGTTCTGATTTATTGCCCGATTTGATACATTCCACCACATGTATTTAATTACACCTATTAAAGAGCATTTAAAAATGAGAAACCAAAAGGAGGCACTTCTTTACACTTAGAGTGGCGAGGGTGTGGAGCAAACTGCCCAGCCATGTCATTGAAGTCGATATGCTGGCTGGCTTCTTCCAGGAAGCTCGCCGGTTCAATTATCTTCTACAGGGACCGAATGAATGACCTCATCTCGTTTGTACTTTTTCTGACATATTTTAAATGCAACGTCCCCCGGGTTCGCTTTGTCAGCAGCACTGCCAATTTTTAATACTTTTATCAAGCCCTCTTGTCATCTTTCTTCCGCGTTGATGGGGGTTTGTTAGAAACGCCTGGATATTATTAATTGATTAAGCACGTAATTGTGAACGTGGCGGATTAGTAGTTACCAATGAAACCTACTGGAATAAGTGGCTGATTGCTTGATTGAACCAGTAACTCCACCCCCAAAATCAGAGAGCGTTCTGATTGGCTGGGCTGTGCCCCGATTGGTAAAACTCTACGATCATTGGCTGAGCTGTATCCCGGTTCCGTGTTAGGGTCACTGTGTGCTGATTGTCTGATCGGCTCCTGGAATGAGCGGCTCTGTGTGCTGATTGGCCAAGCCGCGCCCGGGACAGGTTTCTTGACGGCCTTCGGGGGGCGCGCGCTGCTGTTGATCTTTTGCTGCTGCTGCTGCTGCTGCTGCGTGCGCAACCATGACCCTGAACTGTAACAGCCACGAGGCGGACCGCGAGCCCAAGGTAGCGGCGGCGTCCGCCATTTCAAGCTCAAAACCAACCGTCGGCGCCGGGTGTCCGGTAATGTCCTCAAACATTATTTTTTTTGTGTGCGTCAAGACTTTAAAATTCGCTCGGGAGTTACTTCAGCTCCCGTCCTGTTTCGGTGGTAGTTACAACATAGTTCGCTCTTGTATCACTTTTTTCAGCCTCAAAAACAAAAAGACGACCGCCAGGCGGTTTCTTCGAAGTAAATCTGGGCGCTCCCGGTTTAATTTGGTCTCTGGTGGAAGCTCCGCCAAAACAAATCGACAGCAACGTCATATGAGTCTAGATCTGCTGGACGTGTTGAATTCTTAGTGGGTTAATCGTTCAACACTTCTTTTTCCGCCCTTCTCGGTGGATATTGGCGGGCTGTAAGCGGGGTTTTGGGGCTTTGGGCCTTGCGGTGGGTGTCGGGCCGGCCTATGGTGCTGACGATGAGGATGGGATCTGGTTGCAGGACAAGGCAGCGCCGAAGGGGATCGGACTGCTCGCTTCTGTCCTGGGACACCTGCTCAAGTTGTGGCCTGTCTGCTTAGTGGTAAGTAGAGCTGTTTGTGGCAGACGGCTCGGTCTGTACTACCCGAGACCGGTGCGGGTCTTAACATCTGCTCTT